GAGAGAATACACATCGGGATTCGCGGCACAGGGGGCACATAAGTCGCTTGTGCACCCGCTGCGCATGCTGCTGCAGGTCCCGCATCTGCGAATCCCCCCCCCATCCCCGCACTCCAGGCCACCAGTCTCACATGCGATCGACGTCCTCTACTTCAAAGTGTGAGGTGGTCAACTGGACCAAGACAAGGTCACCTCACACCCTCCTGTGCTGAGTCTGCGTCACCCACCTCAGTTTCTTCCAATTCCATAGTATACCACACATGCACCATCCCAATCCAGCCGCTGCGTCCCATTGGTCCCTCGTCACAGTGATGGAAAACGTGTACCGGCAGGCACACTGGTGTTGGCAGTGTTCAAGAGGCCAGTGCAACCCGCTGCGGCCTCACTTGCGCAGCCAGGTCGCACAGGACAAGCGCCGCAACCGTTGCCCTGGCAAGTGTGTCTTCCCTATGCACCATCCTGCCGCCCCAGGACAGCAGGCGTGCACGCGCCTCGCAGGCAACCCGGCGGTTCGCACAAGCAACAGCACACAGACACTGGCCAGCAGAGGAGGCGCGAGGGGTTCACCGTGCTGAGCTGTGGGCACGGCAAGCCCTGCTCCGCGCATAACCCGCAAGCCACCGATGTGATCTGGCGCAGAGCTGCTCCGCTTGCCGCCGCCGCCGCCGCGTCCGAGCGCTCCAACTGGTTGCTCCTCCCCAGCGCCTGCAAGGAAGAGGCGCCCCCGAGCCCCAGCTCTCCAGGGCCTGCAAGGAAGAGGCACCCCCGAGCCCCAGCCGCTGGCACATTCTGCCGCGATGCAATGTCCACTGCTGCGGAGAGTCTCTGCTATCATGACGTGCGTGTGTAGAACTATCTTCGTCGGTATCACCCCATTCACGCATCTACCATCCCAGACGACAAGCCTCCATCATCCCAAGTGTGACGGTCCTCCATTCACCGTCCCCGCCTCGACAGACGGCGTTCAGCAGCCGGCATCGGCGTGGCAGTGGGGATGCCCCATACCCGGCTGCCAGACCTAAGGCTCAACGGAGTCCGCAGGGCCCCACGTGGAGTAAGCTGGCGAGCCAATAGGGTCGAGGCGCGCCACGCACCGCCTCATCCGGGGCAACCAGCAAGTACGCCTCCCAGCTCTCATCCCACTGCTTTGCCTGCAATATCAGGCGCCCGCTCTTCAGTGCGCAGTCCATACCCCGGCCACAGGCGTCCAAACTCAGCACCCCTCCACTCCACAAGTGAAAGTGGATCAGATTCGAAGCAGTTCCGAATGCAGCGCCCAAAGGCCGCAGCCTTCCACTGGGTCAAGGTGGCGCCGCTTCCAAGCAGGCATGATTCACGTCATATGCGGCAAGACCGGCGATTACGGTGCGTCCGAACGTGCCTCGAGGACTGGTGGGCAGCTGAAGGACAGGACTTGCCGTCCACACGATTCACGGGTCGATCACAGGTCCCAGAGGCGCAGCAGCGGAGGTCGTGCCAGGGCTCACCTCAGCGCAGATACGGTGAACAGGAGTGTTGCAGAAAAGCTCGGAAATAATGGCATAGCAAGAGCACTGCAGGACTTTTGAGCGGAGGGCGTTCCAGGCAAGTATGAATGCAGGCTGAACATGCTGGATGAAGCAGAAACAAGGCGGATCAGCTTTAACCCGGTCCCTCCGAGGCTTGAAAATGAGGACCGATGTCCGAGGCTTGAAAATGAGGACCGATGTCCGAGGCTTGAAAATGCGGACCGATGTCCGAGGCTTGAAAATGCGGACCGATAGCCGAGGCTCGGCGGCGCGTCGCAGCGTCCGAGGCTCGGCGGCGCGTCGCAGCGTCCGAGGCTCGGCGCAGCGGCGCGTCGCAGCGTCCGAGGCTCGGTGGCGCGTCGCAGCGTCCGAGGCTCGGCAGTGAGCATCGACAATTGTATTGCACAACACCAGTAAGCAAGAGCTCAAAAGCGCTGATCCTCTCTTCCCTGCTGCACGCACCCAGAAGCCGCCGTTGTGCTCCGATCGCTCCGGCAACTTCATCAGCTGGAGATACGATGCTCTTCCCTGCAGCGCCGCGGCGCTGCCAGCATAGCCAGCCGGCCGGCCGGCCGAGTCCACCGCAGCCAGCAGCACCTCCGGCTGGTCCGCCTTGCAAAGAGGGCATTTCCGGTCCTTGAAGAGCATCCGGCTCCGCAGGCAACACTCCGCGCACACCTGTACTCCGCACTCCCTCCCTCCGGCACCGCCGGCTTTACACCACGGACACCAGCTTTTCCTCGAAACAAACTACCGAACAAATTTGGCGCTTGCCTGCCAACGCTGTGACAGCCGAGCGAAAGAAGAGCGAAACAGTCGCTTAGAAAAGTGGCATAGAAATGCTGGCATGGAGGCGGTCCTGCGACATGCTGGCCGGAGCATCCAACGGCAGCAGCGGCATACAGGACGCTGCAGCAAAGTAGGGGGCGGAGTTGCGGGGATCGTGGGGAGACGACGGGGCACTTCCAACCTGAGAGTGCCCGCAGGACATAAAGGCCGCAATCGTCAGCGGGTTGCAGCACACGATGCAGTGGGCATCATCGGAGACTGGAGCGGCTTCAGCGGGGTTGGGAGGTCCGCTTGTCGGCGGGATGACATCCGCTCGCCGCCACCTTGCGCTATCTCCCCCATCGCGGCGATGTCGATGATCCCCACCACGATCCCGCGTGCCGGCGCTGTGCCGACAGCCGTCCTTGCCTCTGCCCTTCGCGGGACCACCGCTCTCTCCGCCCTTCACGTGGCTCCCCCGACCTCGCCCTCCCTTGCCGTGCGCGTGTTGCTGGTCCGCAGGTAGCGCGCCACCGCGCCCTCCCTTGCCGTGCGCGTGTTGCTGGTCCGCAGGTAGCGCGCCACCGCGCCCTCCCTTGCCGTGCGCGTGTTGCTGGTCCGCAGGTAGCGCGCCACCGCGCCCTCCCTTGCCGTGCGCGTGTTGCTGGTCCGCAGGTAGCGCGCCACCGCGCCCTCCCTTGCGCCCCTTACGCTCCTGTCCCGCGGGCGGTGCGTTCGCAGGGGCGTCCTCTCCCCTACCCCGGGGCACCAGTCCGTCCCTGAGTTCTCAGTCGAGGAAGGTTGTGCACAACTGTATGAGCACCTACCGGCTTAGCCCGCCTATGTTCCAAATCGTCGAGATGCTGACTAGGTAAGATCACAGAGCACGCGCCTGCTCGCTGCGAACTGGATACAGTTTTGCCACCTCGATTCAGGAACCTGTATCAAGTAGCATATCACTATCGTACTGACGGCAGGTACTGGCGAGAAGACGAAGCACCAGCTCTAAGTTCGCTTTGAGCTCCGAAGGTAACTCGGTTCACTAGAAGCTAGCGCAAGAGCTCTAAAGTCCATCCTGTGAAGGAGGCATTGCTTGGAGGAAACTCAGCAACTGTGGAACCTGGACGATACCTTGCGAATGATTCTGCGGTTTCAGTTTCCGTCTCCGCCGCGTCAGACGCGCGTGAACGCCCTCCCGGGCCTCGTGCTCCAGAACCCTGCAATTGGACGGTCTCAATGATGCCCTACCCAAACATACACCTGAAAGGGCAAGAGCTACCCTGCGGCATGCTATTACCTTCGAGCCTCGACCCCTCCGTCCACGCGACTCACCCTTTCCGTTGCTCCTCGAAGATCCTGTAACAAAACCGAAAAAACGTTTTGCTGAAAACAACGCCGTTACTTAACGAAAGCGACGTCGGCCCTCACGTGAATTTTATTTCCATGTGAGCACAGCAGAGAACGTGAAAAAAGTCGGGTGAAGGATTCCGGAATGCGAAGAGATCGGGAGGAACGTTGATAGGGATCTCGCCAGAAAAGCCGGTCGAGTGCGAGTCCGAGGACGCAGGTGGTGCGTTGTCGACGGGACCACTCGTGTGACCTTGACTATCTCCTTCAGTTGATGGTTTGCCCATATGAATATCGTCGATGGTATATACGCCGGAAGTACCCGTGGAGTGTAAGATACGAGTCGGGCGCAGCCTCGTCCTTGCAATGCTCAAAGAAGCCTTTGAGGAGCGAAGATGTCGGTGGATTCGCCGAGGTGCTCAGGAACAAAAATCTGAGCGTAGAACAGTTTGCAGTTAAAACCTCTGAAGTTTGTTTTCAAAAGTCAGTGCGCTCGCAGTCAAGCACGTTCCCTTCCTCTTATCCAGAAGGCCAAAAACTCTTGTTCAATGTTATGTTGAAGCGAAGGAGGGCGGGCGATCGGATGGGATATGGGATCGGAAAGGATGTGGGAGGGGCTAGCGTCACACGACAGGGAGGGTTAGCGCTGGATTACAGTGACACGGCCCCTTAAGCGGGGATATTCATTCAATGTTGTTGAAGTTGTATCATCATGTATGTTCGCACTTTCCATTCAAATTTCTCGGAATTCTGGATTGCCACATCACGATCAATCCTGTGGCCTGGACATCCCGATGCGCTTTCCCGATCCACGTGGCATGCAGGGGCACGGGAGCAGCGTGCACGGCATTCAATTCACAATTGCAACAAAAACCGCGCGACACGATGCACATGCGCATCGACGATGGAAATCGAATGTGATCGACAGCGACACATCGCATCGACACAATCCGGACACATCAACAGCAACATGAACAGGCCGTCTTCCCGTTCATCCGCATTCTCTTACACGTGTTGACTTAATCGAGACATCGGGCACGAAAGTGGCACGAACAGCGAAATAGGGTTGCAGTAACAGGATGCGGAACAGATCGACAGATCGACTGTCGTGTGTCTTGCAGCAAGCGGCTTGCACCCCGAGTCCCCGACGCGACGTGGACGTCGAGGCTCGAGCTCAATACGTATTGAATTCTCAATTCAGAATTCTCTATTCTGATTTTTTTGATTCTCATTCTGAAATGTGGAGCGAGATCGCGAGAGCGAGAGCGAGAGTCAAGTGATGTCATGTCATCAGTCATGTGCTCATGTCAGGTCATGGTACGATTTTGATAAACACAAGTTTAAATTATTGCTTTTTACTCGTTTGTTCATCAAATGGACGCGATGGCCGAGTGGTCTAAGGCGCTGGATTTAGGCTCCAGTCCGAGAGGGCGCAGGTTCGAACCCTGCTCGCGTTAAAAATTGTCTGAAATTTTTCCCGTCAGTGACAAAAACTTTTACAATATACTTTTAAAAGTATATTGTAATGTCACTTTGAGTGATATGATAGGCCATTTTTAATTGAACAGAATTCTTTTTACATAAATATTAATAATGGCGTTTATCGCTAGAGCGTGACACCACCATCGCCATCAGCCATTTAAGGTATAATACTATAATTAAGATCCTCGTAACGATATACGAATGGAGCTCGTCTGGTGTAATCACAGGCTGCGGGTGTCATCCTTGAGTTGGTTCAACGTTGAACGTTGCCGTTGTTCCAGCCCAGGCGGGAGAGACATAGACATCTGGTCTCTCGCGGCTCAGTCCCGTCCTTAAATCTGGTTTGGGTAAAATGAAATTTCGTCGCGTCGCGTAACTTTTGATCGCAACGATCTGATTGGTTGGAAAACTGTAAAACGCTACGCAAAAGTTACGCAAGAGCGTCGCGTCGCGGAGATGTTTGGACAAACATCTTTTGCGTAACACGCTACGCAGAGATGTTTTGTCCAACATTTACGCGACGCGACGCTCTTGCGTCGCGTTTTTTGGTTCCACGTAGGCAAAATTTGAAAACTGTTCCGCGTCAGATCAAATCGGAGATAAAATAAATGGACGCTCCTTGGATATGCGACGCAAGTGTACGCTCCACGTCGGCAGGTGCGACGCCTTCGAGCGGACATTGCTCCCGCGAAAGGCCTCTTTGGAAACCTCCAGCCGTGGAAAATTTCCTTCAGGGATTCTTTGACTTTATTACGTCAAGCATGTGGAGCCACGTAGGCATGGGCCGTCGTGCACACCGTCGCAGTACGCCGATTTCTTCATCCTTAAATCTGGTCAGACGCGACGCGACGCGACGCGACGCGACGCGACGCGACGCGACGCGACGCGACGCGACGGCCGTGATCTCCAAACCAGATTTAAGGACGGGCCTCAGCGGCCCAGCGACGATGTTCAGTTTACAGTCCCGTGCTCTATCTACCTGTAGTCACTCACCAATAATAAGAAAGTCCTAAATATGGGGTCAGCCAGCGAATTTCGTCAAGTTGTGACCCCCCCGCCAGCGCCAGCGACCTATGAAATTGCTAAGAATAAGAAATCCCGATTTCGTAGCTCAGCCAGCCAATTTCTTATTCTGATTACTTAAGGAGGAGGCAGCCAGCTATCTTGAAATTGACACTCAGCGACGGCCACAGTAGTAAAATTTTAGTATGGATCCTGAAAGCCGTGAGTAGATAAGAGAGCTGAAGAAGGAAAATTCAACAGTCTGTATGATATTTCTATTGAGATAAATTGTGTATAAGCATCAAAATCCTTGTTAAATCAAGTAAACCCACCAAATAACCCAGCCAAAATTTCTTAACTAGTTTTCACTATGATTCAAGCCAGCCAGCCCCTTGATTTCTTATTTT